TCGCCTGCCTCTGCTATCTCGTCGTACAGACCCTCGCGACGGCCCATGGCATTCGCCTTGGATGAGTGATTGTACACTACCAAGATCCTGCCAGAGGGCAAGATGCTGAAACATATGCCTGAATTAGGGTTCGGTAAAGTTGTAGGTTTAGGCTCACTCCATTCAAGACCATCTTTGGATTTCGACATGTAAATGGCATCGGCCCACCGACTGCGAAACATGGCAAGGTACGTCTTGTCCTTAAGACGTTGGATCGCCATGTGAACTGCACCAAAGCTATTTGGGACTTCTTTTTCAGTCCATGTTTTCCCCAGGTCATGGGAAATGCAGACAGCAGATATATCGTCATTGCCAACCCATCGGGTGCCTGGATCTGTTCGACATTTGAAGATGGGTATGACCCAAGCGCCACTATCGAGAACAAGCACAGGCTGCCGTATAAATGTCCTTCGTTCTGAAAATAAAACTTCAGGAGGCTGCCAGGTCATCCCGTTGTCTTGAGAGATCTGCCGCTTCACGATAGCAGAATCTTGGTCACCGGCATTTTGCGATGTGTAGAAAAGCCAGACTTCACCCATCAGTGTTTGGAACAGAACTGGATTTTGCTCGCTCCGTGATTCGACAAAGGTCACTTTCTCGGAATCGCTCCACGTGGCGCTGTTCGCTGGCCGCCGTGATAAATAGATGCTGATGTCTGGCTTGCCTTCTTGGCTTCCGCCAAACCATGCACATAGCACATCACCATTTTCCAGCTTTAGAAGGTTTGATGCATGGCACTGAGGGGTTGCAGATGTTATGAAGCACTCCAAATGTTCAAAGGGTTTATTTACTCTTGTCAGAGTGCTGAATTGGAAGTCTGGATTGATCTCTTTAGGGTTGGACATGGCTGAACAGTTGGTTCCTTTGTGTCGGATTAGCAACGTCAATCCCATATGTCTGATAAAATATCGACATTGCTGAAATCCACTGGCCTGGTATCCGCACAGATCTTCTTCCTAAGCCTTTTGATTCCGAAGGGTAAGTGTGCTAGCACTGGAACCTGCCTCCGTGTTCTCTTACGGCGAATAAATCACTTGTCGGAAGACGTTCCAGGAAATCGGAGGGACAAACCGAGATCTATGGTCAAAGCTCTCATCAAGAGGGGCATATGCCTTTAGAGCGGCTCGTTAAGTGTACCATCCCTGTTAACACCGGAGGAGTATCGGAATTGCTGGGGATGTATATACAAGTAGACTCGACACGGCGAACTCGGAGCAAACGTAGAAACAGCACAGGCAAAACCCATTCTAACCAAAACCCCAGCCCCACACAACTTGATTGGCAGCTGATGTCTTTTAGCGGAAATCCGGGGTGTGGAGAGCATAGAGAACGCGGAGGAGCATGGCGAGGGCAGTCTCGGAGCGCTGATCGGCCAGAACTTCCAGCCACATATATGATGGTTATTTGTCGCTCTACTTTTATTTGGCATCAGGCCTCCCATCCCTTGAATCAATAATTGATCTTCTCATCTTGATGCATATCCTTTGTTCGGCATAATGGCTGGCGGTACAAGCATATGGTTCAGCAAGGACGCAAAGTCCGATCCGAAACAGATATTCAATGGGCGTCTGTTATACCTTCTCATCACCGTCGTCTGGGCGGGCTGCTTCTACGGCTTTGATACAGGAAACATTGGTGGAATACTTACCCTGAAATCATTTGAAAATGCTTTTGGATTAAATGGACTGAGCCCAGCTGAGCTAAACAATCGCAAAGTGAGCTATGAACTATGTTTCAACACCAGCAGACTGATCGAAGCAGGGAACGATTGCAGCTATGCTGGCAGCAGGTGTATTTCAATTCTCTTGGGCTTTCTTGGGGTCAAAGACCGTATTGCTGATAACTTGTCCCAGGGATCAGCGGGCGCTCTGCTTGCCTGGCCTACTTCTGACTATATTAGTCGTAAATGGTCCGTTTTCTTGTGGGGAATTGTCTTTGTTTTAGGCGCAGCCATGCAAATGGTCGCTAATTACAACGTTCTTCTTGCTGGAAGATTCATTGGAGGTATGGGTGTTGGAGCGAGCTCAATGCTGAGTCCTCAGTTCCTCGCTGAGAATTCACCAAAATCCGTTCGCGGTTCCATGACAGCTACTTACAATCTCATGATTATCATGTCCCTCATGCTATCTTTCTGGATAAACTACGGCGTCAGTTTATGGAAGAATGCGGATCACGATAACAGCCAGTGGAGGGTTTCTATGGGAATTCAGTTGATTCCTGGCGTGTTGATGTGTATTATGATTCCATTTGTCCCGGAAACAGCTCGTTATCTTATCAACCATGGAAAGTCGGAGCATGGAGTCAAGAACCTAACGAAATTGCGCAAACTTCCAGCAGAACACCCTTACATCCAGACTGAGTATCAGGAAATTGAGGCCCAGGTTAGATTTGAACAAGAGGTTGGTAAAATGGGATACGTCTTCTTTTTTCTTTAGAAACTAATCAGCGTTAGGCGCACAAAGGGTATAGCGTTTGGACGATTCTTCAGGATATCTTCGGCAACAGAAGCAATTTCCAGCGTTTCTTTCTCGTAGTTATGCTCTTCCTCCTACATAAATTTACTGGTACTGACAGTTTGAACTACTACGCTCCATCTATATTCAAATTGATCGGCGTGAAAGGAAACAGCACCAGCCTTCTAACAACGGTATATTTCTTACTTCTTCATTAGGTGCGAAGGGCTAAGAATTATCAAAGGGCGTTTACGGTATTGTCAAATTTGTGACCACAATCTTCTACGTTGCATATCTCGTTGAGTAAGCATGTCCACTTTTAGCTATTTTTAAACAGGAGCTTACTGCTCTTAGTCGAATCGGTCGTCGCCGTCCTCTCATAGTAGGAGCGATCCTTCAAGCAACTGCAATGCTTTACCTCGCGCTCTACATAAGATTCTCTGGCGGCAATAAAGCCAAGGATACCGTTTCAGGAATGCCTGCTGGTGGCATTGTCGGCATCATTTGGATATATATCTACGCTTTTGGCTGGTCGTTTGGTCATTCAACCGCATGTTATATTGTGGCTTCCGAGATCTTCCCAACAAGAATTCGATCCTTTTGCATGTCGTTTTGCTTCTTCCTTAACTGGATTGTGGACTATGGCATTACTAAAGCGACTCCAATTATGCTAACTCAGTTGGGCCGGGGAACATTTCTACTCTATGCAGTCCTCACTTATGCTGGTGTTGTATCAATTTACTTTTGCTTACCGGAGATGAAAGGTCGCTCTATCGAAAGTATGGATGATCTATTCCAGCGACCACTTTGGACAATGTGGAAGCATGCATATCCTACTGAGGACGAGAAAGTGCGGCATGATGTGCAGGTGATGTTGCAGCTCGACTTTTCAGGAGACAAAGGTGATGATCTTGGGAAAAGAGGCAAGGCAGCGCATATCGAGACGAGTTCCGTTTAATTTAAAGTCGCATGTATTACTTGATGAGTTTCATGAACGTCACAAAAGCAGTGATGGAGTTGAAGCTGGCGACTTAATAAACATCTTAATTACTATAGCTAGTGAATCATAAAGTAGGCAAACTTCTTATAAAGAGAAACATTCTTTCTGCCGGATTTATTCATAGTAAGTCTAAACTTAATTAGGAAAAGGATCATGACCTATAGGGACTGACTTTATTTGGATATATTTAATGCATGTTGTCGCAATATTTGCGATGGCATGTGTTAGCGACATAGCTTAGATCAGGGCGTACACTTTGCGTAAACAAGTAACTGTTCATGTACTAAGCGGTCTCTGTGTGCGACATATGAAGCAAATGAATGGAAATTAGGTAGAACTAAGGATGAATAAGAGGGACACTAGGCGCTGGACCCCCCAATCTTTGCCAACATTCCACAGTAGGCCTTCAAGCGAATCCATTGTAGTGCTATGAAAGGATCCACCTATTTATAATCAAGCTTGTAAATTTTTTTATATACTCTATAGGGAGAAATACTTTGTCACCAACTTGAAAGGTCTTTCTAAGTTCTATTTTATTTGCCTTGGTGGTGTACTGGGGAAAATGGTTCATACTCTGAAGGGCATCACGTGATACAGGAGCAAGGGCCTCAGGTGTCATATGATATGGTAAGGATATATAAGAAGAGGAGAGTGAGGAAGATAAGAGGGCAGACATAGCTTCAGACAAGAACAAGACAACAGAAACCAGCTTTGCTTTGCCTCGTACAGAACTTCGTCTTGCTTTGCCCTGCTTTGCCTTGCTTTGCTTTGCTTTATCTTTACTTTATTTTTCCTAGTTACTCTGTAAGGGGTGAATGTAAGCGTGATATCAGGATGGGGAGCAATGAGTATGGATTGGTATCAAAACTGACGACTGAGGAGTCAAACTAAGGTGGACACTGTGCGTAGCTTAAATACCGCTTCCCCCTGGAGCACATGACCCGCGGCCTGAGCGCAGCTGTACCGTGCGTATGTTCTCTCCGTTCCTCACATACTCTATCTTCTTTTATACCCTTATCCTAACTATTCTATCCTACTCCTAAGCTTCTTTACAGTTCCCATCTGTAGGAGGCTTCTCTCTCCCTCTTGAATTTCCTCACCCTCAGGAAGGCCGTGACATCGAGTGTCCTACCCCCTGAAGTGGCGGTCAGCCTAAAACCTTTACAGTGGCTTTAATAGGTTGCTGCTTATAAAGATTTGTTTTATATTAGACAACTTTCATTTCCTCTAACCTCTATTTTACGGCAGGAGCATTGACTTCATGCCCTGTTAATGTCCTCAATAGTGTAAAGGTTTTAGGCTGACCGCCACGTCAGGCAGTGTGCTGATTGGATGGATCGGATCGGCGATCCGACTCCCAAGTGGGTCTCTTGGTGGATTTGGATAATCCACTAGGATTATCCGGATTGATCCACCTGAGGCCCTTTATGGCGTTATTGAGGCTGTAGATTATGCCACATATGACTCAAAATGGAAAATATTACGATTGTGAAGTGCTCGGATTGCTATTACTTTAAATCTATAATCTTAGCCTTAGCCCATGATTGCAAGCATTGAGTCGCTTGGGTCGTTTGAGGCTTCAGGTGGTTGCGGTGCTTGGTCACCATATGACCCAATCGGCTGAACAAGCGTTCAGGTTCATCGCTCATCGCAGGTATTGACAGCATATCCAATGCCATCTTGGTCAGATATGGATATTCGATGCATCCAACGGTGGACCACCACTCAATCGGCTTATCAGTTGTAACTGATGGCTGTATAAGGTACCGCTCGAACTCATCAAGGCCAATTAGTGCTTTTGAGGCTTGTGACTTAATCTCAGCAAGGGTCTTCAGCCTATATGCCTCCATCATATTTGGCTCATATGACCTTGGTTTTTGAGGTGATTCAACTGGTGCCTCAATGTGCTTGTATGTACCTTGCCAGAGGGCCTTTAATTTAGCCTTACCTGCCTTCAGCCACTTCACTTGCTTATGCCATAGTCGCTCCACAAAGCGCCAGTTATATGACGGGTAATACCAGTGCTGCAAGGTACGCAGTGATATCATCGAGCTTCGCATAAATATGCCTCAGCCTTATCTAAGGCAAGCCGGATTTGTGTAGCAAAGTGCCATTCACCTTCAAGTGAGGTTTTCGGAGCATCTTTGTACTGAATGTACATATTAGATAGCTCGATCACTATCAACTCGATGTCATTAAGTACGTTCACAAGACTTGAGGACTTGCCATCTTGAACGTAGCCTTGAAGATCCATTGTTGCAGCCCAGCATGGCTCAAGTAGCTTCATATATTGAGCTAAGATAGCCCAGTCATCCGCATCTAAGATATCATCTGCAATGGTGGTGAAGCCACCTGGATCGTTTCTTTGCCGTTCTGAGTCAATAAAGTGTTCAAATGGCGCGCGATGCTTAATTAACGTTTTGAGTTCATTATAAACTAAGTTCCATCGTGTGTCATTGCTTCGATAAAGCTCTCGAGGTTTAAAAGATTGCAGATTGGTGGTTTCCAGGATATGTGATAGATAACCAATTTGACCTGCGCGCTTGATATCAGATTTTGTTGTAGTAGGATAATAATATTCGTAGTGCCTCAGGCAAATCAGGCTATAATCATGTCTGGAGTGCAGTGCAACACCATGATTATCCTGATACCATATATTATAAGCAAAACTTACTCTGATGCCATCGCCAAACTCTCTGAGGACTTGCATAAGTCCAGGTGATAAGATTATGAGCTTTTCCAATAGGTCCTGCTCGGCGCCAGTAAGTTAACTGATCATGAAGATCCATCATCTCAGAATCCTGTGCAAAAAAAGTCTCTCATCAAAGCCATATAAGAGACAACTTGCAATTAGATTCAGGATATGACCTGCACATCGAAGGCGCCGTTCGACAGCATCTGAGCCAAAGTAAGAAGCTATTGACTCGACTGCAGTGTCGTTATTGTTTGCGTTGTCAACCATAAACCAGCCAAGATGGTCTCCTTGAATTTCGAAGTCTTCAATGACTTCAATCATCTTTGCAGCCACATCTACAACAGAATGTGACTCAGTTTGTTCAGGCACAGCAATAAGGATTTCTTGAGGCTTATATGACGCATCCAGATAATGCGCAATAATGCCGTTCATTGAACGATGGTTATTCGATGACTAAAGGTCGAAGGCGATATGGATCCGACTGGTAGCCTGACGTAAGTGCTCCACCACCTTGATCTTGTGAAGCTTGTACGCATTGTTAATCCAGCTGATCAATGTGGTGTGATGAGGTACCAACGCTCGATTGTTCAGATACCTGATCAGGTCTCGAAAAGCCTCATTATCCACCTGCCTAAACGCGAGATTGGTATCGACAATCCACCTCACCACCAAGTTTCTGAAGTTATGATTGTCAAATGACGTCGCTAAGTGATTCAAAACTGCCTGCTTTTGCACCGGATCTATATCAAGATCTGATAATTGTGTTAAACCTCGATTCTGCAATGGTACCCAACCACCATCCTCCCTTCTGAACTCCTCGTTATGCCGCTTTCGAATATGTTTGGTAACGTTGCTTGTGCCATTCTTAATCGGCCAATAGTACTTCTGCTTCACCTGCTTTTGGTGGCATTCTAAGCATAGCCAATAATGGTCATTGGTCTCGATTTCTTCGATAAGCACCCCACGATCCCATATAGGTGAGTTCAACCGATTCACTGCTCTTCCGATTTGCTTAGTGAAACCAGGCAATCTTGTGAACTCCACCTTAGTATAATCAAATCGCTTTGGAACAAAGGTGTCGAGGTCGCCAGCGCGTGCTTTCAGGCTTATGTCCTCTGATCGAGTTGGTGGTGATGATATATCTGATATAATAATAGATGTGTCTGCAAGTGATGAGGTGGGACTTAATGATGAGTGTAGTGGTAACTCAACCACTACTACCTCATTTTTAGGTCTTTCAGGATGACGTCTTGAGGCTCGATTGCTTGCCATGGCAGTATACCACTGTTCATAATTGATGGTATTTGGCTCCAGAACGGGCTTATTATGAGCAAGAGCATGGCACAATGATGACATGATGAAATGCGGTGTAATAAGGCAAGTTTGGCACATATGAGAGGTGGCAGATATGCTTACAATCGGCCTAAGCTTCAAGCCACCACTATATAATTGGATTATCCAGACGGATTATCCAAATCCACCGCCTAATTTGGATTGTGGCTTATTGGATAAATCCGGATGGATCTATCCAATCAGATCCACCAAATCAGCAAACTGACGTCAGGGGATAGGACACTCGATGTCAAGGCCTTCCTGAGGGTGAGAAATCAAGAGAGTGAAGTCTCCTACAGATGGGAGCTGTAAAGAAGCTTGGGAGTAGGATGAGATAGTTAGGATAAGGGTATAGTAATAGAGAATAATATGGAGGGCAAAGTAAAGGCAAGGCAAAGCAAAGCAAGGCAAAGCAGGGCAAAGCAAAGCAAAGTTCTGTATGAGGCAAAGCAAAGCTGGTCTCTGTTGTTCTCTTCTTGTCTGGTGCTTCCCTTTTGTCTCCTTATCTCCCTTATTCTCCTCTTCTTATATATCCCTACCATATCATATGACACCTAGGGCCCTAGCTCAAATGTCACGTGATGTCCTTCAGAGTATGAACCATTTTCCCCAGTACAATAGTCTTCTTCTGAAGGATCTATCTGGTAGTATCAGTATATGACCTTGAAAGATGTGTACACTACTAAAGCGATCAGAATGTAAAGGCTTGATCAACTAGACTACATAATACAGACGTCATACAGGAGGATAAGAGTTGTGGTTGAGAGTAATCACTGGGGAGAGGAGTTTCCCCTAATTAGGCGCCTAAATATGTATGTGCTTTTGCAGTGAAGCTCTGGCGCTGGTCAGGTATCAGCTCCTTCCTTCTCTTTGAGGCATCTTATACTTAACTTGGTTCAGCTGCATATGTGCTAGCAAAGTCTAGTCCTGCTAGTTGCTTCTGAATCAAATCTGCCTCACGACTGAGTTCATCTAAATTCACTTGTAAAGTTTTCACGTCGTCAAATCTTCTCTTCTTCCGTGCATCATTCAATGTTTCGCCAACGATAAACATCTGTTCCTCGAGGAGAATTAACCTCTCGCGAAGTTCTTTTTCCTCGGTTTCCATACTCTCAATTGCAGAGCTTCGGCTGGACTGGGATGCTGCATCAATAGTAAGATGACTATTTAAATGAATTAAAGCAAGTGCGCCTTTACCACTGCCTTTCCCCATAGGAGTAGCATGTTTGAGGATCTTAGGCAATGATTTAAGAGGGAGCATATGCAGATGCAAGAAACTCATCGCTTGACTATACACAGCTTTTTGTAAACGCTGCTGGGTTTGGCTGCTTGTTGGAAGGTCCCGTATTCTGGTGGCTGCACTCTGATACTGAACAAATGAGTCCGTGAGACGTTTCCGAGTCTTTGTTGCTTGGTCGATTTGCATCTTTGTCGGTGGACTTTCCGGATCTTGTAATGCGCTTAAGAGCTTTTGAAAACGAGGAATAAGGAGGCGAATTCCACTCTCAAACTCGATTAAATGTTCATACGCCCGTTGATCTGGTGGCTTCTCTGCGACAGCGGCATCAAAGTCGGATTTTGCGAACAGTGTATGGCGACATTCCTTACATAGCCGAACCTTGACTGAGACGGGTTGTATCTGCGTAGCAGTCTTTTCGGCCGTTTCTGTTGGCTCTGAATATTCGTTAGACCATTTCGCTCTATTCAAGACTTGGAACGCAAACACATACTGACAACATCGAGAGCGACATTCACAGAGCATTCAGTTTTAGGATCGCTGCATATTACGCGTCCGCATGTTCGACAGTGATGTCGCCGAAAAGTATAATTGGAAAAATCTTGTTGACAGAACGGACATCGGACAACATTGGAATCGTCTTCCCATGGAACAACTGATTGTTCGAGTGATCTTTGATAAGACTGGCCTCCCGGAATTGTCCAACCAAAAATACTGCTCTTGCCCATACTGCCATTGGCGCTTTGAGCTTCAAGAGTCGTAGTAGCCAGCAAATGCGTGAGCTTGCTTAGCCTTTTCTCCAGCCTGCTTATCTCAAGATACTTTTTATCGATTATGCGTCTTCTCATCTTCATAAAGTCGTCAGTGTGATCCCTCTCTTGGCCACGGTGATCATTGTATCCTTCTCGTGATTTATAACATGTCTCACAAACTCTACACCAAATGCCCCGAACAGGCTCATGACGAGCCGACCGTGAGAGTTTCATCTGATACATTGTATGCTCGTTGCAATAGAGCGCTCCACATTTGCGACAATTTATGTTTCCATTACTGCCGCCCAATTTCTTGCCACACATGGGATCAGCGCAAAAATCATTGTAGCCCGGTTTCTGCCAATGTGTCCGCGTCACAGACTCCTCCGGATCCTGAACTCGTTGTGCCATAAGCTCTGGCGACGCCTGACCACTTCCAGATGTTGTAATTTTGACAGCAGGTTGAGGTGAATCATTAGCTTCGAAAATGTCCAAACCCTTGAATTTCTGGTTAAGGACGGCCAGTGGCTGGAACTTCTTCGCCTTGGTAAGCTGATCGCGGAACCAGTCCTTCACCTCATCCTGCTCAATCTCTTCCAAGTTCGCATGCATGTCATCGAGATGTCTAAATAGATCCGCGGTGTAAGCTACTTGGTCGTCGGCTGTAGTCTCAACGAGTTTATTCACCTGTTTAATTGCAACAATGTGACCTTTAGATCTTGGAGTCAGCTACCATTATCAACAGCGGAGTCACACCGGCTTTCATCTTCCTGTTTACCTACCATCTCATCATTGCATATTGGACAGACGAGGCGCGAGCTCGACGCCGTAGTATCGACGTGGCCAGTGGTCTCTAAGCTCACGTTTGCTACCAGGTCTTGCTTTTGCGGTATGATAGGGGGAGATCCATCTGAAGCTGACGATACTATGGAGCCAGACGGTGAGAGAAGACTGCCACTTCCGTTATGAGCTGAGTGGGAGGACTGGTTGGATGGCGACGATGCAGATTTGGCGCTACCTAGGACACGACCTCGACCAAGGATCCTTCCCGTGGCCATGTCTGTAGACTCTGTTATGCATCTGTTAAAGAAAAGGTACTAGAATCAAGGGGACAGAAAAGCTAAGATGAATCGGGCACATATCATGCAATACGAACATGTTTGATGGAGTGGTAAGGACAACGGAGCATGGGTGTGGCGCAGCAGTGGCGTGCTCCTCTAGAAGAGACTTAACAAGGATAGGTAGAAGTCAGGACCCTCGTGTGCACGGGCCCAGGTGTGCACGGGCAAAGTTCTGAAGTACATTTCTCACCCAAATTATAGATATCTATCCAACCACCACTATGGATGATGCAATAGCCTATCTAAAGGCTAATCCAGGTACGCAGATTCAGGCTGCAGCAACGTTGTTTAATATAAATCGTTCTACTTTAAGCAGAAGGTTCAGAGCGGTGACCAACCTCACCAAAGCACAAGAAAAGAAGCTCATAGCCTATATAAATAAGCTCACCGATCGAGGATTTGCACCTACCTATCCAATTATACAAACATTGGCCTATAAAATAGCTAAAAAAACCGGTAGGCAGAAACTGGCCGAAAAAATTTGTCTATCTGTAAGGGATTGGTGATAGAAGTGTGAGATAGATAGTTTGATTCAAGAATATCCGCTAGCTCCTGAGAGTCTCTCCCCTGAACTGCCTTAAATACATGTGTGTGAAGTAGTCACGTGTGCCTTACTACCACACAGCTATACATTGCCAAGCTCGAGGTGTCTGCAAGTATGTGTTGTTCTCATGATCCCTGTGCTGTCGTGGCGCCTGTGCTACGCCGTTGTCACGCCGTACGTGACAACATACAAGTCATGTGATCTATTTACATTCCTCTTTATGGTTCAATTTCCTGAAGTTTTGTTCCTGCTTAGAGTTATCTCTCTATATTAACCTCTTCTCTCATCCTATTTATAGTGTTAAGGTAGCCTAGCTTTATTATGAAAGGTCTCTATTACAAAACCTGCCAGACTTTTCGACAAATTCAAGTATAGCATATAGTTCTCCATCTGCTATATCCTCTGATATAAAAGATGATAAGCTATTAAGACAGGGACCTATCCACCTCCGCAGTCGTTTTCGTAGCCCTCGAAGAGTTGGGCAGTCAAGAAACACATATACCAGCATCTCTCTCGCTCCACATTCACAGCTATCGTTCTGGGTTTTACCAAACCTTTTCCTATAGCTCTTAGCCATGAGTAGCCTGTACGTAGTTGAGCTAGCAGGTTCACTTGAGGGTGTGTTTTCGTGTCATAGAGCTTGCGCACATGTTTTCCTGGTAGGGAAGAGTCAATTTTGCGGAGATGTTCGCCCTTTGGCGAGCCTTTCCACTCTTCTCTCCATTGCCGTTGTATCAGAGCTTTGACCATCTTCTTCTGTGAGGACAGTAGCGGGGCGAAGTGGTGTTCTAGTGGCCTCTCCACAGCTTCCTTAGCTTCCCGGTCCGCGAGCTCGTTTCCCTGGATACCCTCATGCCCTGGGATCCAGGCAAGGTGTATGTCGATACTGCATCCCTTACTAAGGCGCTCGGCTTCCATATTAATCCTTTGAGTGATATGCTGCGCCGTCCGTGCCTGTGGGTTAGCTATTGCTTGTAGTGCTGCCTTGGAGTCATTTAAAATAGTGTAATGGTTTCATGCCGGCTTCTGTATAGCTGTGTTCCAACTGTAGTCCCTGCGAATCATATGCAATGCGAAGAATATTGCAATCAGTTCAGCGGCAAAAATATTCCAGCCGGTATTCGAGCCTACACCGACGGCTACCTTATGCCTAATTTTTTGCTTAGGTCCTAGTGTAATTGCTGCTGCGCCGAGTTCCCCTTCTTTTCCTGAGCCATCTGTGAAGATTACTGAACCAGGGTCAGCTAAGACCAGCGACTTTGTTGTCATTTTAGCTTCTTCTCTGCTGCGTAAAGTTTTTATTGTTGTGAAGGGTGTTCATCGCCATGGGGGGAGTGGTGCTGGGTCGATAATTTCAAGTTTCTGAAATAGCCTGTTCTCTGTCGCCGTTGCTATTGTAAGCATAAGTGGGCTTTGCATTGTGCTGCGGGTTAGGGCTGGCGTATTCGGGTGGACAAGTGGCCAGATTGGGTGGTTAGTGGGCAGTGTCTTAAGTTTGCCTAGGATATTTAGGGCCCTTTGTCTGAGCCTAAGGTGTGTTGGGAGAAGGCTTGATTCGATCTCGAGCGCGTCAGTGGAGACTGTACGGAACGCTGATTGATTTGATTTGATTTGATCCTACTCGGTTTTGGCTGCTAATTATCTGCAGCTATGCCCGGTTAGGCGGGCTTCATTAAGTGACCGACACGTCATGTGCTAACTTATGGCCAATCATAAGACCAGCAAGTGGCTCCACACGTCCCTCTTCAGCATGCGTGCAAACTTCGGAGTAAATAAACATGGCCAGTCTCCTCTTGCACCCACCCTCTTACCATCTGCCTCTATCTTCAAATGCCCGGTGCGCGTTTGTTGACAGTGGCTCTACTACTAGCTATTCTGCTATGTATAGGCTCAGAGGGGTATGCCCCATGTTTCGCCATCCTTGATACCTTCAGTCTCCACCCAATACTTCGCATCGCCTATTCGCTCGGCCCCCTTTGCCCTAGGGCCCTCGCCTGTTCCATAAGTGTGATCGCTTTCGTGGCTAGCTTGCGTGTTGAGAGTACCTTTCGCAGGTCCTCTCTGCCCGGCAGGCTCCCGAATCCGAGCCGTCGTTCGTCCTGGAGCAGTCGGCACCGCAGGAGCGTATGCGCGACTCTTTGGCGGCCTCCGCCGCAGGGGCATCCTGGGTCCTCGAAACCTGGAACACGTTGGAAGAAGAGGAAGTCTCTGAGCCCGATCTTCTCGGTTCTCATCTGCACGAGTAAGGCGCTCTCGGCCTTAGTTAGGCCCTTATGTAGCTGTAGCACCTTATCTGGTAGCGGTGTGTGCCGGTATGTAGCTCTGCCCTTCGTCTCCTGCTGCCAGCTCCTGGTCCAGCGGGTGCGGGTAGTCTTATTGACCCACGTCTTCAGCGTGGTTCTCAGCGGGTGTAGGCGGGGAGGCGTTGGGGCCCTACGGCTTTCCATGCCTTCTTCTGTCCATCCTGCGGCCGTCTTTGCGGCCAGGTCAGCCTCTTCGTTACCGTCTATCCCTTCGTGGGCCGGGATCCAGTGGATGGTAATAGTAGGGTCATCCTTATGTAGCTGCTTAAGCCGCCGCATAATCTGCTTAGTAATGTATGCTCCAGAGCGGCCTTCGGGTCGTATTGTCGCGCGTATCGCGGCCTGGTTGTCTGTGAATATATGCACCTGCTTATAACGGGCCAGCCTTTCACCCGCGTCCTTCACCATCCCAAGGGCAAGGTTGATACCTTGCAGTTCTGCGGCGTAAACAGTCGACGTGGTCTCGGGTCCCATATAGGCTCCTTTTGATTCGCCCTCCATTGGCCATACTGCCGCTGCTCCAGTATGGCCCTCAATACAGCTCCCGTCTGTATAGATACAAGCTTGACCCCCCTCTGCTATAATCCTGTCGTAGGTCGCCCGTGCTTCGTCGTTGTTTGTCGTAATCCGCACCACCGGACCTTGCTGCCATGGTGGCGCTATAAATGGCATTATCTTTTCGTGCTTTTCAAGATCTACAGCTCCCTGCTCTTGCAGTTGGCGGGCAATCCAGCGTAGGGGGCTTATATGTCGTGCTCTGCGCTGGGAGGGAGGGTCGTCTCCATTGCCGGCGTCCGATAGCTCCGGCATGCTATTGACTGCAAGGATCCGGCCCAGTGCGTCGGCGTTGTGCTTCCATATCTGATGCTTGATGGGGAGCAGGTGCGCTTCAATATTCAGGGCCGCCTGTGAGGTTGCCCTATACGCCCCGCATATAGCTCTCGCGCCTTGGGCCTGGAGGGTCTTGAGCGTCTTAAGCGTGGCGGCCGTATATCTACCCTCTGTACCTCCTGGGTTTGAACAGGCGGAGCATGCGTACATCATTTGCGGCAAGGCCATGCCTCTATAGATTTTCCGCATGTCCTGTAGGCCTATGCCCCAGGTAGAGCCTCCGATGGAATTTAGTGCGGCGATTGTTTTTGTGACTTTCCGGCGTATCTCTGCGATGTGTTCCTTCTATTTTAGCTTTCGGTCCATGATGACCCCAAGGTACTTGCATGTAGTCTTAGCCGGGATGGTGATTCCCTGGGTTACTAGCGGCCTTTCAAAGTCGATGCGGCTGTGTGCTCGTGTGAAGTGTACTAGCTGGAACTTTTCTGGGGCGAATTTCGCGCCATGCATTTGTGCCCAATGGTGAGCCTTTTCTAGTGCTAGTTCAATCTTCCCACAGGTTTCGTCTGTGGAGTCACCGCACGCCAGGGTCGCGGCGTCGTCGATGTATCCTACTGTCGTCACGTTCTCTACCCCGCACTCCTCTATAAGATCTGCATTGTAGAAGATATACAAGATGGGTGAGAGGGGTGGGCCCTGTGGGATACCCGTTTCAATCCGGTACTCCTCTGATTCGTATCCGTCGAGCGCAATCCTGGTGCGCCTGCTGCTCAGAAAGCTCGCTATCCAGCGTACCATCGTTTCATCAACCTTCCGCTTCCGGAGGTTGTGTAAGAGCCGTTTGGAAGAGACACTGTCAAATACACCCATCACGTCCAGAAGGAGAAGACTAGCCACTCTCACCTTGCCTTTATTCCATGTTTCGTAAATACGTTCGATTATCGCGTGTAGCGTATGTTCTGTAGACCGCAGCTTCCGGCCTCCGACGTGTCGGCTGGGAAGCACCTGATATTTCTCTACCAGAAAGCTGAGTCGCCGGGCGATGACTGTGTCCATGACCTTCCCGATTGTATTCAGAAGCTCGATCGGGCGGTACGCTTTAGGAATTGTATAGTCGTCCTTTCCAGGCTTTCGTAGTACCACTGTGGTCGACTCGCGGAAGTGGGCCGGGCAGTATCCTAATTTTAGGCTTTGATTGATGATGGTCGTGAGGTACGGTACTAGTATTCCTGCGGCTGCCTGTAGCGCCCTGTTTGATATCCCGTCTGGCCCTGGGGCCTTTAGCGGGGCTGCGGCATGGATTGCTTCCAATAGTTCCTTTCTGGTGACCTTCGGCATCTGTGCCTGCCCTGAATAAGACGCCCCTTCGATATCGCTCAGATCCGACTCCCGTGGGGGCGGGAAGAAGGCCTCTCTGAATATATCCACCTTTACTTGTGGTTCTGTTGCTGGGGCATCCCCTGGGGCATCAGGCCTCCGTATCATGGGTGTGATGCTTGGGGCTTGGTTGCCCCTGTTGCGTGCCCATTTTGCGACCTTCCACAGTGACTCGGCCGAGCTCGCCGCTTCTGTCACCCGGTCTCTGTGTGCTTTCTGAAGTGCCCTTGCGATGGTCTTGCCCTTGAGTTTCCTAGTTTGTTGATAGTCCTCCCACGCTTTAATTATTGGCCGCCGGGAGTATACTCTACGGAGGCGCTTCATTTCTGCAAGTGTTTCTCGGCATGCGTCGTCCCACCCTTCCTTCATCTTAGGGCTGGACCTCCTCAAAGGTAGGACCTTTTCTGTCGCTGCATGGATTGCGGAGACGATGTGCTGGACATACTCGTCGAGCGCTTTCTTCGTGTTTGGCTTGCGTTGTGGTGTGAGGACCTCCTTTAGGGCCTCACAGAACTTTTCTTCGTCTAGGTGTTTCCACGGGCGTTTGGGTTTGGGTTCTATCGTTCGGATCCTTGTGTCTAGCGTGATGCCGATCGGTAGGTGGTCAGAGTCATGGTTAATGTCTTCATCTACCCCCCAGCGGACTATCCGGTCGACCAGACCTAGTGTCATCCAACAGAGATCTATGGTTGTCTGACCAAGGCCGTTGTTAAATGTGATTGTGCCTGGTTTCAGCATATTTATCATGTTGAGGTCGTCCATGATCTCAATGAGTTCCTCTGACTCTGGCTCTTCCCTTATGACTTCTGGGCACCCCCATAATTGGTGGTGTAGGTTGAAGTCGCCGAGCGCTATCTGCTCTTTCGTAGCGTGTTTCCCTAGCTGGGTTCGTAGGACTGGGAGGGTGGCCGCATGGTCTTCGCCTTGGCCTGGGTTGTACATATTATGCAGTATCAGCTCGTTTTCTGCCTCTCCTACACCCGTGAGCATCCGCAACGTGCATAGGTCTCGCGTGCATTGCTCGATTTGCCAGCGGCCGTGGTCTAGACGCTTGTTGATGAAGAAGCATACCCGCGCCGGGCGTTCCTTCGTGCTATCCGTCGGATAGCAAAGGTGGAAGATGTTCTTTGCTGGGTGGTGTGTCGTGTCTTCGAATGGATTGCGCCAGGGTTCTTGAATGGCTATTATATCATAGGTCGCTATGCTTGGGTCTCGGAGTAGCGTCGCCATGACCTGGTTCTTTGATTTGCGGACGTTGTACTGCAGTATCTTCAGTTTGTCATGTTCCGTCATTGGTCACTGTCGCTGTCAAGGTCCATATTTTCGGTGTTATGGCGTATTGTGATGCTTGAGTCAATCATTTCCAGCGCTTTCCTGCTAGGCTTTGGGGGCCTCTGCGGTCGCTGATTCGACCCCTCGTTTTCTTTTCCCTCCGGCGCCGCCCTCTTCTGGCCTCTGGCGGAGGCATGGGTCGTTTTCATGTCCCGTGTTGACCTTGTCCTCCGCAGTAGGGGGGCCGCGACAGCAGCTAGCGTGTCGCTTCCCATCGCTGGTGTAACCGCGTGGTATCGCTGCCTACTGGCGTAGGCCGCCCTTACCTTGGCCAGCTCGTTTTTTCCTGGTTGGGCACAAGCGGTTCCACGCCTCATGTGTGCCGTGGCATGCTGCGCATTTCCTAGGGGCATCCCGGTCTCCTTTGGATGGGCAGCCCCTAGAATCGTGTTCTAGCGCGCAGTAGCCACATGTCTTTGCTGCTTTGCATTGGGTTCCTATGTGGCCATATGCCTGACACTTGAAACACTGCTTCAGGCGGCACTGCCTCGCGCTGGCACATCTCGCCTTGTCATACTAGGCCCTTATCAATAATCTTGTTGGCATCCTCAGGCCTCGTGAATTCTATGATGATTGACGACATCGCTTTACTTGGTGCCTGCCGGGTAAGCCGCCCCATGAATTTGATCTCTGCGTCTGGGATAAAAGGGTTTATTGTCTTGCAGGATGGCGTTTCTCATGTCTTCCTGCTTGTCCATGTCGACTGTGCTGATCCGTGTGCCGTGTACTAGGACGCCGTAGGTCGGATTCCTGACCGAGGACCCGCTACCAACTCGTGCTACCCAGTCGTCTGCTAACTGCCGCAGGAGCTGCGTCTCCTTGCCTGTTGTTGTTCGGATACTGAGGTCCCCGCTCTTCAATTGGTTGGCTGACATTATGGTGATTCCGGTGATATGTTCGTTCTCGCTTTGGATAATCGGTTAGTTAACGTGCGTTTTAAGAGTCCGCGGGTTCATCGCTCGTAAGCGTTCGATCGTGTGGTTATCCCTAATTTTTACTATGATCTCCCGCTGGGTCCGCGCGGTGGGAGGCATCCTTTGCTCAGGCGTCTGTCCGCTGTAAGCGCCTCTGGCAGCCACCGCACCGTAGCTCATAGGAGTCCCCTCCTGGGGTCGTATTCCTTTGTTCTTAATGTCCTTCACGATGTCCACCGTGGTCCTGCTAATCGCCGTTGCTTCAACGGTGTTAGGAATACTTTCCCAATACCAACTAGCTTCACTAGCGTGAACCACTTTGGAAGGGATTAGCTTCCTAGAGCAAGGAATAAGGAATAACTAGAGCTTATTATGGAAGGAATGAATAATAAGATAGTTATATTTATGATTCAGAGTAGTATGAGCTTCAAGATATGAGAATGTATTCAAACTAACTACTAGGTAAACTAGACAGTTGAATTACAGAGAGCTGTCAACAGAGGTAGAACTAGGGGCAGGATGTTTTTATAGACCAGAATCATAAGTCCTTGTTGCCTTGCTCATTTTTCCTAAATGAGCACCTTCGCCAATCATCAGTGATAGGGTAGTCATTCTTTTCCTTGATAGGCCGGCATGCTCATTTTGCTCAATTGATCAAAATGAGCATCTCACGTGAATTATCGCGTGTTACTTCGTAACAGAGGGCGGCTGCTTTTGCCTCTTCGCTGATAATTGCTGTCTTTTGGGCCTCTTTAGTAAGGCCGCGTATTCCCTCTTTTATCGCCGCTAGCTCTTTCGCCGAGTCTTCTGCTCCTATTTGGAGCTGCGCTTGGATAGCACAGACTGCATTATGGACATGGACATGATCCGGGGCTTGCTGTACCTTTGTCACGAAGTTGAGGGCTGTGAAGATTATTGATTTTACTGGGTCTAGTTCAACAGTGCGGTTGGGCGTGCTATGTACGAATTGCGCTGCCGCTTGAAGGTGCTTCGCTAGTTGGGCAGCATGCTCTGGCAGTCTGTTTGATCAGGACTCTCCCCTAGGCCAGGGAATCGACATACCTGTATTTCACGCGTTGGGTGCCGCGTCAGACCTGTTAATTCGTCCAACTACTAGGTGGAGGAGTTTGTACGCGCAGTTGAAACTACTAGATTCCAAGAATTCACGTTCTCGCTGTTTGTGATGTTTTTTATAAAACGGAAATGTTAAGTGTCTCCTATACCTTAGCGAGATGTTACGAAGTAACACGTAAAGTGATCATTTTGATCATTTTGAGAAAATGAGCAGAATGAACGCTTCGGCCAATCACTTTAGGGGATGCTGATTATGAAATCAGCATAAGGCCGAAGGGTATGCAAGTCCTTACAGTCTATAAAAGGATGTGCTTTTCCTTTGATTACGCTCTCTGTAGTTAAACTGCCTAGTCAATCTAGTTCGTTAGTTTCCGAATCTATTACTATCTATTGAAGCACACCTACTCTAGGTCATAAAGACTCCTGTGGTGTATTTATCTTCTTCCAATATTTCCAAGAAGTCCCCTCCTCCACCGCTCTAGGAAGCTCATCCCTTCCGAAGTGACTTAGGTTAGTGCAGTCTTGTCGGATTAGGAATGGATTCCTAACACAAGGGAAGCTAGCATGCCTTCGGAGGTTCTTAAGACTGCGCCTGCATCTAGATCTCTATATTGTTCTACGGATTGCTATACGCTGAAAAATTGCTTATAATATCTAATACTTGCGTTTGAATACTGGTAGGCTTCAATGACTCCTGGGATTAGGGAACGCTATACACATGACCAGACTGGGCAATGCGGTTTCCGAAGAAGCAGTTTCCGGTCTTAAAGTAGGAAAGGGGAAGGAATATTTGAACATAATCCGAGCTGTTATTTTCGAAAATGAAAGCAATTGCTGTTGTTATGCTCTGCTCTAAATTAGCAATCATAGCCATTGCCGAGATTTGCTTGCCCGCGTGGCGACAAGGGTCCCATACAGTCTCGTGCAGTGGAGCAAAACAATCGGCCGAAGCTAAAAATCGGAAACGGCAATGAGCAACAGACTGATTGACGAGACCTCGAAGGGGAAACGAAAGGATGAAGAAGGCCAAAGAGCTCCTCGAACGCGGAGCAAGGTCG